CACCTGCTGTGGAAAATAGTACGGAGGTTCCTCAAAAAAATTAAAACAGAATTACCTTATGATCCAGCAATTCTGTTCCTGGGTTTATACCCAAAAGAACTGAAAGCAGGATTTCAAAAAAGTATTTATATATCCATGTCCATAGCAGCATTATTCACAGTAGTCATGAGGTGGAAGCAACCCAAACATCCATCAACAGACAGATTTTCAAAAAACATGATGGATATACGTAAGGGAATATTATTCAGCCTTAAAAAGGAAGGAAATTCTGATATATCCTACAAGATGGGTGAACCTGGGTGAGTAAAAGAAGTCAGTCATACAAATACAAATACTGTCTGATTTCACTAATAGGTGGTACCTAGAGCAGTCAAACTCATAGAGACAGAAATTAGACTGGTAGTCATCAGGGACTAGAGGGAGGGAAGAATGAGGAGTTATTGTTTAATGGGTAAACAGTTTCGGTCTGCTGGATGTAGAGTTCTGGTGATGGATGGTGGTGATGATTACCCAACAATATGGATATACTAAACGGCACTGAACTGTACTCTTTAAAAATAGTTAAAATATGGGGCGCCTGGGTGGCTCAGTGGGTTAAAGCCTCTGCCTTTGGCTCAGGTCATGATCCCAGGGTCCTGGGATTGAGCCCCGCATTGGGCTCTCTGCTCCGCAGGGAGCCTGCTTCCTCCTCTCTCTGCCTGCCTCTCTGCCTACTTGTGCTACTTGTGATCTCTGTCTGTCAAATAAATAAATAAAATCTTTAAAAAAAAATAATATCGAGAAGACTTAACTTTATTTGATGAACAAAGTAGTTAATAGAAAAGAAGAAATTGAAATGCTTGGAGAGAATAAGAGTATCTCATCCTAAAGTCAGACGACCATCAAAACTGTAATGGGGACTGCATAGGAATTTTTCAGAGATTGTCTTAAAAAGGTGTGATCTCACAAAACCCAGAGTATCTTAAGCTATGGATGAAAAAGTTTCTAGGGCATTTTTAGAAACTAAAATGTAAATATAGCCAGTTTTTAAAAATTTTTCATTAGCCCTTAGTATTAATATGGTTAAGAACCTCTGTATTGAACAAGTAAATTTTGGCAATTTACATTCTAGAAAATTAGTGATGAAAATGTAAAACCAGTTTAAGCTGTTTGAAGAAAGGTACTTATATTTGAAATATGTTTTTATTGGCATCAGGTTTATAAAACTACCTTATATTAAATTTAAAATTATAAATTACAAGCTACATTATATAAATTTAAAATTATAAATTATAATTTATAAAATTTATAATTTATAAATATAAAATTTATAATTTTAGGTTTATATAAATATAATATAAAGTTTTATAAACCTTTATATAATTATAAAATTTAAAATTATAAGTTATAATTTACAAAATTTATAAAATAAACTTGTGTTATGAACCTGTCTAAACATGTATTACTCATGAATTCATGAGAAATAATATTTTATGAAAGAAGAATGTTTACTGAGATTTTTAAAAATAATTTTCCTTAAAATTTTTCTTTCAAAGTCTGACGATGAAAAGGAACAGATAAAGAAATTTATTGAGTTAAAACAATCTCTTGAATGTAGTTTGAATCAAGAAATGAAGAAAAATGGTGAATTAGAAAAAGAGATTACTAGGTAAGACTAATATTTCAGATCACTTTAACCATTAATTACTTGATTTAACTGTAATTTTACTTTATTAAAACCTAAATACAAATTCTTGCCAGAATATTACACTTAATATTTAATGATTCCTTACAGTTCCTTTAACAGTAACAACTGCACTTTTCATTGTCCACCTTGAATAGTTTCTGCAAGTTATCTTTGTTTTTTGGTAATCTTTCCTTTTAATAGTGTTCTTCCCTTCAAACAAATATTTTAATGTCGAAAAACCTAGCTGTGTTATTGTTTAATCACATCAAAAGTTATCTTGGTTTAGCTTACTTTTTTATTATTTTTTTAATTTAAATTTAATTAATCAACATATAGTATATTATTAGTCTCAGAGGTAGAGTTCAGTGATTCATCAGTCTTCTAGAACACCCAGTGCTAATTACATCAGGTGTCATGTCTGTAATCCGGTTACCCTATCCTCCCACCCTCCTCCCCTTCAGCAACCATCAGTTTTGTTTCCTATGATTTAGAGTCTCTTGTGGTTTGTCTCCTGCTCTGATTTCGTCTTGTTTTATTTTTCCCTGCCTTCCCCTATGCTCCTCTGTTTTGTTTCTTAAATTCTACATATGAGGGAAATCAAATGATAATTATCTTTTTCTGATTGACTTCTTTTGCTTAGCATAATACCGTAGTTCAATCCATGTCATTGCAAATGGCATGATTTTATTTTTTAATGGCTGAGTAATATTCCATTGTACATATTTATGCACCACATCTTCTTTGAAGGCTATTATGGACATTGCTGCTGTAAACATTGGGGTGCAGATGCCTCTTTGGATCACTTTATATCTTTGGGGTCAATCCATAGTAGTGCAATTGCTGGATCATTGGGTAGCTCTATTTTCAGCTCTTTGAGGAACCACCATGCTGTTTTCCAGAGTGGCTGCACCAGTTTACATTCCCACCAACAGTGTAAGAGGCTTCTGCTTTCTCTGCATGCCTAACAACATCTGTTGTTTCCTGACTTGTTCATTTTAGCCATTCTGACAGGTGTGAGGTGATATCTCATTGTGCTTTTGATTTGTATTTATTTCCCTGATGCCAAGTGATGCTGAGCATTTTTTCATGTCTGTTGCCTGTTTGTGTGTCTTCTTTGGAGAAATGTCTGTTCTTCTACCCGTTACTTGACTGGATTTTTTGTTCTTTGGGTGTTCAGTTTGATAAGTTCTTTATGGATTTTGGATACTAGCCCTTTATCTGATATGTTACTTGCAAATATCTTTTTCCACTCTATAGGTCATCTTTTGGTGTTGTCAGTTGCTCCCTAAGATTATAATTTATTTAGTATGTTCTCAAACAATGTGAGATTGGAACAAATGAGAGATCATAATTTATAGACTTCCTTATATGATAGAACATATTATCTATTTAAATAATAAATATTTACTCTTAAAGAACCTGACTTACTCATTCTGTACTTTCCACAGATTTAAGAAACTTTTAAAAGCGACAAGAAAAAAGTTAAGTGAATATGGAAATGAAGATCTTAGTTTCCATGGAGATTTAAGAACCAGTCACACTGAAACGGATATTCAGATTAATATGCTAAAACACAAGGTAATTTTTAATTAGTTTTGGGACTCCAGAATCACTTGATTTTGGGAAATAAGTTACTCAGTGCTTTGAGCAGTGAAATACAGATTTGTTCTATTAATTTTATATACCTCCTACATTTTTTGGTAACAACTTTGAGATAAAAATGAACATAACATACATATTCAAAGAGTAGTACCACCATCAATTTTGGAACATTTTGTCACCCTAAAAAGAAACTTGTATCTTTTACCTGTCTCCCTATGCTAGTTTCCCCTTCCCTACTCTTGTTAGCCCTAGGGAACCACTACTCTACTCTCTGTCTCTATAGATTTGCCTATTTTGGAAATTTCATGTCAATGGAATCACACAATGTGTGGTCCTTTGTGACTGCCTTCTTTCATTTAGCATAATATTTTCATTTCATTTCATTTCAATACCTATTTTGTAGCATGTGTCAGTACTTTATTTCTTTTTATTGCCGAATAGTATCCCACTGTATGGACGTGCCGCATTTTATTTATTCATTTATTAGTTGGTGGCCCTTTGTGTTTGTTTGTTTGTTTAAGATTTTATTATTTATTTATTTGACAGAGACAGAGACAGAGAGAGAGGGAACACAAGCAAGGGGAGTGGGAGAGGAAGAAGCAGGCTTGTTGATGAGTAGGGAGCCTGACATGGGGCTTGATCCCAGGATGCTAGGATCATGACCTGAGCTGAAGGCAGATGCTTCGTGACTGAGCCACCCAGGCACCCTGGGTTGTTTTGGTTTTTGGTTATTGTTAATAATGCCATTGTGGACACACATGTACAAGTTTTTGTGTGAACATGTTTTCATTTCTCTTGCATATATACTTATAAAAGGAATTGCTGGGTCATATGGTAACTCTAATTCTTTTTTTTTTAACCCTTTAAGGAACTGCCACACTGTTTTCCAACATGGCTGCACCATTTTATATTTTCATTAGCGGTGTTCGAGGGTTCTCATTTTTCCTTTTTTTTGGCCAATATTTGTTGTTACCTGTTGTTTTTATTATAGTCATTCTAGTGGATGTGAAATGGCATTTTGTGGGGTTTTATTTATTCATTTGTTTCAAGATTTACTTAAATTCTAGTTAGGTTACAGTTAGGTTATGTTACATATTGGTGTCAGGAGTAGCATTCAGTGATTCATCACTTACATACAACACCCAGTGCTCATCACAAGTGCCCTCCTTAATCCCCATCATTCATCTAGCTTACCCCCTACCCACCTCCACTACAACACTGTTTTTCTCTATAGTTACGAATCTTTTATGGTTTGCTCCCTTTCTCTTTTCTCCCCCTCCCTATGTTCATCTTTTTGTTTCTTAAATTCCACAGATGAGTAAAATCTTATGGTATTTGTTTTTCTCTGACTGACTTGTTTAGTTAGGTATCATATACTTGATGAGTCCATCGATCTTGTGGTTTTGATTTGCATTTTTCTTAAAATAATGATGTTGAGGGGCGGCTGCGGGACTCAATTCATTAAGTATCTCACTTTAGCTCAGGTCGTGATCCCAGGGTCCTGGCATCAAGCCCTGCACTAGGCTCCCTGCTCAGCTGGGGGCCTGCTTCTCCCTCTCCCTCTCCCTCTGCAGCTCCCCCTGCTTGTGTTCTCTTTCTCTGTCAAATAAATAAAATGTTAAAACAAAAACAAAAAACTTAATTATGTTGAGCATCTCATCTTTCTATGTGTGTTATTATCCATTTCTATATCTTCCTTAAAGAATGAATCAATTATTTTGCCCGTTTCTTTATCGGATTGTCTTTTCATTATTGTAAGAGTTATCTACATAGCCTAAATACAAATCCCTTATCAGATATAAGATTTTCAAATCTTTTCTCTTATTTAGTAGCTTGCCTTTTCACTTTATTGATGGTGATGTTTTTTTTTTTTTAAAAGATTTTTTTTTATTTATTTATTTGACAGAGAGAGATCACAAGTAGACAGAGAGGCAGGCAGAGAGAGAGAGAGAGAGAGGGAAGCAGGTTCCCTGCCGAGCAGAGA